AAGAGGAGGGATGAAAAAGAAACAGGTAGAAGAGTGGGGCAGGCACCCCATGATTCTCCTCCAAGGCAGACAGGGAGAATCCTGGTCAAGGGGTCACCTGGGGACCCACACTGGAGTGACTGTCCAGCTCTCAGCCTTGCTCTCCTGGCTTCCTGATGGGCATGTGGTTTGAGCTGGTCATCCATGGCACCTTGCCCTTGGCTGAAACAACTGATCCCAAACATGGGTACATGACCCAGGTCAGGACAACTAGAGCTAGAGCCCTTTGCCAGGAATTGCCAAACTGGAGTTGAGAAAAGGGACCGCTTGTCCTCCAGCTGTTAGGGTGACTTCCTACAGCCCGGTCCAGGGTCCTGGAGATGGTAGCCTCTGGGGATGAGCCTGATGTCCAGTTAGAAGCAGGGAGAGAGCTAGAGAGAGAAGAACCAGGGATCTTCAGGCTTCTGGCTCCAGCTCTCCCTAAGGTCAGCTCCACCCTGCTCTTCCCAGTTATATGAGCCAATGGTTACCTTTTGAGTTGCTTTGTTGCAGTTAGTGTTGAGTTCCTCTCTCTTGAAATCTACCCATTGCCTCTCTCTTCAAAATGCACCCTGAATCTGACCACTTCTCACCATTTTCACAGCCACACCCTGGTCCAAACCACCACTGTCTCTTGCCTGGCTGAATGCAACAGCCTCCCAATAGGTCTCCCTCCTCCTCCCCACCCAGCAGGCCAGTGATTTTAGATAAATGTCAATCAGATCATGTCACTTCCCTGCCTAAACCCTCTGGTGGCTTCTCATTACATGCAAACGCTGTACCCTGTTTTACGGGGCCCTACAAGGTCTGCCTCTGTCTACCCTCCAGCTCTATTCCATGCCACTTCCCCTCATCGCCCTGCTTCAGCCCAGTGCCCTCAGTGCCCTCCTTTTCGTTTCTAAAACTCATTGTGCCCAGTAGCTCTTTGCACCTGCTGTCCCAGGTCCTTGTCCTTCAGTTTTTAGTACAGGAATACAGCAATCATAGCTCTCCTACCCCATCCTTTTCTATACCATTTTGTTGTTTAAATTATTCACAGAAACTTTCTCTAGCTGAAATTATTTTATTTATGTTTTTGCTAACTTTTTTTGTTGTCTGTCTAACCCTCCCAGAGTGTGAGCTACAGGAGAATGGGGTCCTTGCCTGTCTTGTTTACCATGTCATCTGTGTAATAGGAACTCAAATAATACTTATTGAATGAATGAATGAATTAGTTACAAAATAATGAGTTGCTGAAGTTCCAGGCAGGCCCCTATGTTCCTGTTGGGTCTCCTTTCCTCTGCACCATGCTGTTGTCCACACTGTTAACCTGTGCTTAACTCCTATAGCAGCGGTTCTCAACCTGTGGGTCGCGACCCCTTTGGCGGTCAAACGACCCTTTCATAGGGGTCGCCTAAGACCATCCTGCATATCAGATATTTACATGATGATTCATAACAGTAGCAACATTACAGTTACGAAGTAGCAACGAAAATAATGTTATGGTTGGGTCACAACATGAGGAACTATATTTAAAGGGCCAGAAGGTTGAGAACCACTGGTCTAGAGGAACTTGTTCCTGTTACTTGACCTCACTCAACTTCTACTACCTCATTTGTGAAATGGGAACCCTGCTCCTTGCCAAGCCAACTCCAAGGATTGTTGAAGATGCACGGAGCCAGTGGGTGGAAAAGCCCAGAGCCCACCGATGACCAGAATTGAATGGGTCTGGCCTGGTGCGAGGAGCATCTTACTCCTGCTTCCCTACCAAGCTCTCCTCCCTCTGTGCTGTCTGACCTGCCCTGCTTTCTCCTTTCTGTGCCACTCACACAGCCTCACTCACTTGCCTTGCCTTCCCCGCCCCTTGCCCTCAAAGGTCTTCTTTTATAGCTCCTTGTGAGGAATTCCTATACGGCCCTGGCCTTCACTGTGAGAAAGAGCAGGCTATCAAAGGCCGGGCTTGGCTCCCGGCTCTGTGGTTAAACATTGATAACACCAGGAGGCAGAGGCCGGAGAGAGCACACCACGTATCCCCCTGCGGTGCTGGCACCCCAGCCCGGGGTCCTCTAAGCCCATTCCTCAGGGCTGGCAAGAGGGTCTGGATATTTTCTCTTTCCTTGAGGCCACCATATAAGAAAGTGAGCACTGGGCTCCTGGCTCTTTAAGCAATTAAAACCGGGTGGAGCCTGTTTGCCACCCAAGGCCACTCATTCAAGAGGTCAGTCACCCCAGAGTAGCAGAGAAGACTCCAGGCCTGGGCGTGTGCTAAGAGCAGAGCTACCCGATGGGATGGGCTGCCACAGACTCTGCACTCATCCCAGGTGACAGCTGTGTGGAGAGCTCAAGTGCAAAGACCATCCTGTGCTTCGGTGAGAGGAGGAAGAAGACACAGCAATCAGTGCTGCTCCCCAGAGCAGACCAAGACCGGCCCCAGGAGCCACGGACCCAGGGTGAGTGTCTCTAACCTCCCATGGGAATGAGGGACCAGGGTCTCCAGTAGGAGTCACAGGCCAGTGGCAGATGGTTAAGCTCTGTTTAAAATGCAGGAATCTCCTGGAGGGGCCCAAGGAGGCAGGACAGCTGAACGCAATGTGATATCCTGGGTGGGATCCGGGAACAGGAAAAGACACTCATAGAAAAATAAAATCCAAATAACTCATGAAATGTAGTTAATTTTTTAAAAGCAGGGATATTAACAGGATGCTCACTCTAGAAGGAAACTGGTGAAGTGTTCTGAGGGGAAATGTGTCTTTGGTTCTGGGGCATCTAACACAGTCCGGAGGGTTGACTCTCAGTTCTGGACTTGAGTCCGACTTGTCATTTTGTTTGTTGGTATATGTTCATTATAATATTATCACATTTAAAACACACATTCCCCTCTGGGATCAGCCAAGTTTGTACACTTATCAGATTGGCTCCGACACCATACTGTCTTGATTACTGCAGTTTTACAGGAAGTCTTGAAGTCTGATAGTGTCAGTCCTCTAACTTTGTTCTTCAATATTGTGTGAACTATTCTGAGTCTCTTACCACACCATGTAAACTTCAAAATCATTTTGCCGATACACATAAAATAACTTGCTGGGATTTTTATTGGAATTGCATCGAATCCATAGGTCAAGTTGGGAAGAACTGACATTTTATTTTATTTTATTTTATTTTTTTTAAATCTATTTTATTGATTTTTTACAGAGAGGAAGGGAGAGAGATAGAGAGTTAGAAACATTGATGAGAGAGAAACATCGATTAGCTGCCTCCTGCACATCTCCCACTGGGGATGCGCCCGCAACCCAGGTACATGCCCTTGACCGGAATCGAACCTGGGACCCTTCAGTCCGCAGGCCTAAGCTCTATCCACTGAGCCAAACCGGTTTCGGCGAAGAACTGACATTTTAATTAGTTTTATTAATTAAACACCCAAAATTGGAATCGTTGTCTCAAAAGCTATAAATACTATACATACATTTTAAAATACATTCAAATTTGGAAAATATATTTAAAATATACATTAAAATATATACATTTAAAATACATAAAAATTCCATGTGTTGTTTTCATAAAGGTAGTGTGTACTCATGAGAAATGTATTCAATACAGAACTATTCAAGGTGTTCGCATGCGTCTGGGCCCCATCCCACCTTCCCAGAGGGAGTTGGTGTTTGGTTTCTTGACCTTCACACTCTTCTTTGTGGGTGTGGGGAGGTCCACATAGGCAGCAGGGGCCTATGGGCTGTTACTAAT